AGGCTTTGGAGAGGTTTCTAATCCAATTTTGGCATGATTTAGAAATTTGGATAGGATAGATCTATCTCTATAACTTCTAGGAGATTTAAGATCAAATTGGGCATGATATAAGAAGAACTTGGGAGTGCATGCATGTATGGATGATTCTACAAATTAAGAAATGTTAGCAATCTCACCTCAAACATTCAATTTGGAAGTTACAAATAGGTTTAGATAATCTCAAAACATGAGAGCTCATGGGCCTTTGAGGGCCCATAATACATCTCAAATTCCTTTTTTTTTTTAATTAAATAAGCCTATTTAATTATCTTCCAAACTTTCACATGTTAAGGATTGCAATCCAAATCATGCAAACTAATTTAGTCAAGTATGCAAACATTTGGCTCGGAGATTTTCATTATTTGTCTTTCACTCCAAATTTGAAGATGAATCAAAAGTGAATTCAAATTAATTTCTTTTATCATGAGATTTGAAACATGAGCTTGAGGGTTCATGAAAGACCCCACTATTTATTTGCAAGCTTCCAAAATCAATTGAATTCATTTTTATGACATTCAATATGCTCAGACGAAATCACAAATGTTAACGATGCAATTCCTCAAATGTCTAAGTTAATTTTATGATAACTTACGATTTGCCAAAAGTGACGTGCATGCTACAAGATATAAAAGTTCTTACACTTTGTCATGCAAGGTATGGTTGAGTAACAGTACTTATCCTAAGTTTTGGTTGTAGGTGAAGGTATTAGACACAAAATGAGTGCTTGAACATTCATTTGAGAGGTGTTGGCATAGATGTCAATGGCGCAAAATAGCGCGCGCCATGGCGCACGGCGCAGCGCCATTTGTATGGCGCGACACAGATGTTCAAAATGGCGCGCGCTATTTGCGCGCCATGGTGCACCGCGCAAAATAGCGCGCGCCATTTGTTTTAAATTTTTTTGATGTAATTATAAATATATTTTTATATATATTTTTTTAGTTTCTATGATAATATATTTTCTAATTTTAAATTATATTAAAAGTGTTAAGATAAATGTTAGATTGCATATTTTTATCTTCTTAATGCTATTTGTTTATATTTAAATATATTTTGGTTGTATGAAAATTGACTACTTATTGGACTTGAAATTATGTTGGATTGTTATTTATTTGTATTTTCATTGTTTGTATTCTATTATGATAGTTTGTCTTTCAGTTTAATGATATTACATATTCATGCTTATTATTTTATAATTATTTTATAATATGCGCCATGTTCAAAATGACGCGCGCCGTGCCGTGCGCTATGCGCCATGGCTCAAATAGGACCTTTGCGCCATGGTGCGCCATTCGCCGTTAACAAGTATGGGTGTTGGATACCAATCCAACACCCCCACGCATATCCGCATACCTCTTTGGCTCTCCCAATATAGTAAACAAACGGAGATTACAAGATTTCCGCTGTTTTGCGGAGAGGACAACAAACAAAGGGTTTTGGGGAAGCAAAACTGAAGTTTCTAGGGGACCTATGGCTTTGGATCGTTAACCACACATTAATTTGCTGGGGGGCCTTTGTGCTTTTCCTAAGTTTTTGAGATTTTAACTCACCTAGGCTGTCCAAGCGCTTCAATCCAAGCTCCAAGTGCTCTCCAAGCTGTCCGGGAGGAAGAAGATCGCTGTCCTAGTTGCTCTGGACGTCGTTGTTGCTGTCCAAGCGGCTCCAGATGCCTCCTTTGCTGTCCATGGTGCTCCAAAACCACCAAACTTCTTTTTGGGAGGTTCCAAAGGCTTCCTTTGCTGTTTGGAAAATTCCAACAGCTCGCTGAAGTAGATTTCGCCAAGAAGAAGGCTCCACATTGTTGGTTCTGCTGTTTGGATATTTTCGGATGCTGATTTTGGCGTCCACAATGCTCCAAACCACTGATTTTGCTATCTCAAGGTGACCAGAGTTGATTTGGAAGGAATAAGAAGCCTTCCACCTCTTCCTAGGGGTAGAATAAAATAACTACAATAGTTCTGTGTAATACTCTAAAAAATATTTAAAATAATGTAAGCTTCAACTTCCTCTAAATGTTAGCTTATTTTTATATACATTCCACTTTAATTCCAAGCATTTTTGACATATAGAAGTATATGTAAATTATCAAACTAATTGTTTAATTGATTACATTTAATTGCAGTTTATGGTTTAAATGACAGCTAGATTAAAGGCTAAGTATTAGTAAATTATTTAATAGTATGTACTTCAATTACTGTAGCAATCCCACTCAATTACTGTTGGAATTCCACTCAATTACTGTAGCAATTCCACTTAAACCGACATGCATAAAGCTGATGGAAATCCTAGGGCTGAGAATGGCTGAGAAGGTTTAGTGGAATTAGAAGGGTTATTATCATTTTAATAGTGTGATTTATTCTGTGGAGACATTAGCTTCTTTTCCCCACCCGTCCCTCCTTGGACATCGGAAGCCAGCTTCAAGCTGAGTAGCGGGAGCCACTTGTTGAGGCTGTTGCTATGAGATGCTTTGAAGGAGGATTTCAAAGATTAAATTTCTGAAATTTAGTTGTTGGAATTCAGTTAAATGCTGAAGCTGGTTGTGCGGAAGAGTGGTGGAAACTGATGCAGGCTAAGTTGATGTAACTGGTTACTCTTTGGGTTGAAGAAAAAAAGGTAAGTAGGGAAAGTGAAGAATGGAGACTTGGGAGAAGAGAGGCCACATTGCGGTGAATGAAGAGAAACTTCTTTGAGATTGTATATAAAAGGAAAGGAGTCAAGGGTGCTTTTGGAGAACGAATTGACCCGTCTTCCCTAGAGAACGAGGTAAGGGAAAGGATCCCGTAGGGCACTAGGAGAGAAAGAGCTGATTGTCTGTTTTTGATGTAAATATATTTTGGAGTACAAAGAGATCTTAGAGGAGATCTTAATAATAGTTGTATAAACCTTTGATATGTAAGTAAAGTTCAAAAATTTTAGTAGAGCTATGTAATTGTTTTAATTATGTTGATGTTCAGTAAGTAATATTATATGCTTCTTGTTGTTAAGTGTGGAGGTTGATATATTGAAATCTTTCTCTGTTATACTCCAGTTTGTGGTAGAGGGTGAGCCAAACTAGGGTGTGACACTTTGTTCCAGATCTTGTGATAGGATGAAGATATCAGCGACGACGAGAAGGAATTGGCTGACCGTAAAGGCCTCGCACCTGAACAAGGTCGGCGGCTTGATGGGTCGCACCACACGATGAGAGAAGGCTGCAAGTGGGGGGGGAGTAACTCTGCTAGGGCTTGACGGGCAGCGATGGAGCGGGTAGACCGTCCGCTCCTCCCTCTATTCCGCTTGGAGACGCACGAGACCCGCCTTCTCCCTTTCTCTGCTTCGCCTAGGACGGATGCACCGCACGTAAGCAAGGGGAGTCGAAAGCTCCCTTCTCCCTTTTCCGCTCTATATGGGACAGGCGAACACATTCGGCTCTCCCTCTCCTTTTCGCTCTCTTGGAGACCATGAGAGCAGCAGGCCCACCGCCCAAATGCTCCAATCCGATTCCCTCTCATGCGAAACAAATGATTTGAGGGGGATTTTAGATGAAATTTCAACCATTGATTGGAAAATTAGATTTGGAAAATTAATTTAGCTCAAATTAGTCAATTGGGGCTGAAATTGAGCCAAAATTAAACTCGGCTCAAATCGATTTTTGTTAGTTTGGGTCTGATTGGGTCCGATCAAGTTAATTTTGTTAAATTGAACTCGAATCGGTGCCGAATTGTGCCAAATTTGGTTCGACGGGGCTCGACAAGGTTCGATTGTTTTTGATTTGATTTTAATTTAATTAAATTGGATTTAATATAATGAAATCGATGTTTAATTTTGATTTTTGTTTTACGACATTCGATCAAGTTTGGTTCATGCTCGATTGCGAAAAAAAAAGAAACGTCAGCAAGCCTAAGCCTGGCTTAGCACATTCTCAGGTCAATTTACAGAAAATAATTACAAAAACACATATTTCACCTTTTAAAACCTTTAGCCTCTAGCTCTCACTTCCCTTTTCCCTACAGATCCGGCTTCATACCATCTCTTGCTCAGGGGATGAGGGAAATGGAGAACAAAAGAAAATGAGAGTGGGGTAAAGAATGCATTAGTTTAGTGTGGTGTAACATTAAACTAAACTTTGAGTAAATAATTAGTTTATATATACACACTTATGCATGCACGTATGTATGTATGTACATACATATATCAAAATATCATAGTTTATATATACACACACATGCATGCACGTATGTATGTATGTACATACATATATCAAAATATCAGGGTATAAATGATATAATTTTATAGGAAGTAATTTTATAACTGGTTATAAGTGGGGTGATCGTGAGATGAAAATTTTATGCTCATTTTGATCTTATATTTTGTTTTACCTATTTTCTGTACCAAGTCTCAGTCCAATGACTTCACAATACTTAAACAAACTTCCTTGAAATTTATGTTCTGAGTGTCTTCTTTAGAAAGTTGTGTCTTTCAGTCCTTTGGAAAGTTGTGTCCTTCAGTCTGCTAAATTGCTGCTATACTTTTCTTTTTTATGTTTATTTATATAGATTATTTTACTGGGAATTATTTCTTGATCGTAGATTCATAGTTATATTATAAGTGACTGAATGTTTTTTGTTATTATTTTATGTTACATTATTATGGTGAAGCTTACAAAAAAGATGAAATTTAAGGCTAAAATTGTATTTGGTCACTGCTAAACTTTTTATTTTTCTGCTTTACATGTATAGCTCAGGTAAAGCTTATGCCATTTTGTCATAGATTTGTTTATTCAACTTTAAATGCAGTTTTTTTTTTTTTTTTCTGAAATTAATTTAATTGATTTCACTTGCACTCTAATGCATTTCTAAATCATGGGAGGCAAGACTTTATTTATAAACATGGCTATAGAAATAATTCAGTTTCATAGTATAATTTATTTATTTGTTTATTTTTCCCCCCACATTCTTAATGTAAGTATCTCCTTGTTACAGTTCAACTTTCAGTCTTACAGTATCGAAGATGATGACTATGAGGGATATGATTATAGCTTGAGTGGTCGGCTTTCAGCTGTTCGGATAATATTTCTTTACAGGTTTGTTTTGGAGGTAAGTTTCATGTCAATGTTGAAAATGAAACTTATATAATCTTCTTCGGATGGTTTTAAGCTTAGTTTCATGTTATGTTGAACAATGCAATAGGGCAATTCAAGTATAAATGTATAACATTTGTTAGATATGCTAATGTGTAAGGTTATAAATTGTTATATATCTCAATATTATGAGTTCATATTGGCCTAGAACAATTAAAATTTGACCGGGTTGACTCGTTCACGTGACTTGAAAATTTTTTCATTCTAGATAATTTAATTTGAGATAGTATCTTCATCCCTAATCATAGTTGTTACTCAATACCTTTCAAATGAAATCAGTTTCTAGAAGATTTGAGGCAAATTTTGACACATGTCATTGGGCCTTCCAAAACCTTTGGTAAGCCCACTATTCCTTTGCTTAATATAATAGAATTTTAGATGTTTTGACATTGGAAAATATAAATTTGATGCCTTGATTTTTATTATACCACAATCAATATTAAATTGAAAGAAATAACCAAGTTTTGTAGGACAATTAAGGGTCTAGATTTATTAATTTAACCTATAATGACATGCACAATAAAAGCATAAAATCTACCATTCATAAGTTACCAATTAGCAATTTTTGTGAAACTAATCACTTTTCGTGTAAAAGCAGTAAACCCAAATATTTTATTTCAAATAATCCATAAGAGGCATAATGAGTTCATATAAAAAATTTCAGCTAAGGCCATGTTCATATGACGAAAAAGAACTTGATATTTATCATTCAACAACAACAACAACATCAAGTCTTTATCAAACTACGTGGGGTCAGTAACAAGTATCCCTTTTCTCCATTGTGTCCTAGTAAGGGCCAAATTCTCATTTAAATCTAATAAATAAAGGTCATTTCTAATATTTTCTGACCAAGTCTTTTTAGGTCTACCTCAACCATTCTTAACATAAACCAAATCTAATACATCTACTATCTTAACCGAGTCATCGGAAGTCTCTATTTTATGTGACCAAACCATCTAAGATGTGTCTCTCTAATCATATCTTCCATTGGAGCTACTACAATTTTTCACATATATACTCATTTCGTATCTTTTTTTTATACTCATTTTGTATATTGTCTCTAAGAGTAAAGGCACTTTTCCACCCGAGCATCCTCATCTCTGCAACACTTAACTTAATATTATGCTTCTTTTTAATGGCCAACATTCTACACTATAAAGTATTGCAGGTCTCACCACCATCTTATAGAATTTTTCCTTAAGTTTGAAGGGGACTTTTGTATCACACAACAAACTTGATGCATTCCTCTACTTCAATCATCCAACTTGAATTCTATTAATAATATCCCCATTTATTTCGCAATTGTTGACGCACATTTTTGCATCCACTCGACCCCGATCGAGCCCGACTAGACTCGATCGTGCTCGATCAACTCAATCGATCGTCGACGAGGCTAAATTGACCCAAATAAAACCTCAATTTAATTAGATTAAATTCAATTTAATTTAATTAAAATTAAATCAAAACCAATCAAACCCCATCGAACGTCGTCGAGCCCAATTCGACGCAATTCCACGCCGATTCGAGTTCAATTCCATGAAATTAACTTGATCGGACCCAAACCGACCTAAATCGGTTCGGGTTGAGTCCCATTGGGGCTCAATTTCGGCCATAATTGATTGATTTGGGCTAAATTGAATACCTAAATCTCAAATTGAAATCAATGGCTGAGATTTTATCTAAAATCCCCCTAAAACTCTTCGATTCGTGCAACGAGGCGGTGGGATTGGACAATTCGGGAAGCACACCTGCTACTCGTGCTTTCCAAGAGCTCGTAAAGGCGGAGAGGGGAGGATTATCTGGCTCCCTCGTTTCATTTTGTCAGCCCTGAGCCAGAAAACAGAGAGAGCGAGCGAAAGGAGCGGGAGAGGGGATTCCCCCCCTCCCCCCCCCCTCATGCGTCTCCAGGGACGGAAGGAGGAGGCGGAGGCAGGGAGCTCTTCCTGCATCACCAGCCCACCGGTTCCTCTGGTGCAGGCCCTCGAGGACGTCTGTCTCCAGGCGATCGAGAGAGACAAGAAGGGAAGGAGAGGTGTTCGGGTAGGCCTCTACAGGCCGGCTGAACCTGTACATCTTCTTTGCTAAGTTTTCCTCTTTCTTGGACTGAAAGAGAGAGTTTTCTTCCTATTTTCCTCCATTTCTTCAAGTGGAGGAGCATAAGCCTGCTCTTTTCCTCTCCTTAAAGCAAAAAGGGAGTGTTGGAGGATAGTAAAGAGACTTGGAGGCTGTCTACTTGCTGTAGAGGCTTCTTCCACTCCTTTCAACTCCGTCGACCTCAAAATAGTGAAAACTGCTGTTTGGAACGCTTGGACAGCAAGCGACGACTTCCAGAAGCACTCAAACAGCAAAAATTTCTGTCTGCAGCGCTTTGGACAGCAAATCCACCGTCCGGAAAGGCTTGGACAGCAGTCTTCTTCATTGGGAACGCCTTGGACAGCATCGGCGCCATCCAGAAAGGCTTGGACAGCAGTCTTCTTCCTTGGGAATGCTTGGAAAGCAACCTAGGAGCTTGGACAGCGGCTTGGACAGCAATTTGGAGCGCTAGGACAACCCGGGTGAGGTAAAATCCTAAAACTTAGTGAAAGCTAGGGTCCCCCAAGGCCAGTGGTTGTGTGGTTGACGTCCTTCAGCCCTAGGTCCCTTAGAAACTTAAATTTATGCTTCCATGAAATCCTATGATTGCTGTCCTCTCCGCAAAAAGTGAAAAATTAGTGCTTTTTCACTTTTTTGCTCTCTTGTGAGTGTCAAAGAGGCATGTCAATGCGTGTAGGGGTGTTGCATGTTGAAGAACATTTTCGTATCGACCCGACCCCAATCGAGCCCGACTAGGCTTGATCGTGCTCGATTGGACCCAAATCGGTTTTGGTCGAGTTCGATTCGAACTCAATTTCAACCCAAATCTGATGCGGTAAAAAAATATAGGGGACCCTATATTTTTTGATCACAAAAAGAACAACCTTTCTAGATACAAAATAAAGAAATAAAAAGCATAAAACAAACTTTAATATTATAAAAATGAAAGACTTACAAACTTTGACTCAAACAAACTTGGACTCTTACAAGACACCCTAAAGTTGCTGCACTTGGAAGAAAGATGCTGAAGGAGTGGCACTTGCGGATAGACGAAAGAGGTTAGAAGCCAAGACGAAAGGTTGGAAGGAGCTCGCAAGATTTCCGGAGGGGATGAGAAAGAAGACGGACAAAGAAAGTCTTTCATTCAAATCACTATATAAGCCCTCTCCTTTTGGGCAGTTCCTCCAACATGCGTTGTTTGAATGTAAGCACCAACTTTCTAATGAAATGATCAAACTTAAATAAAAGTTAGTTTTCTAAAATATAAAGCCTAACATAGGATAGTCCGAGCATCTCTGAGATTTTTCAAAATCAAGTGCTCCTACTTCACCTCCCTTGGCTCTCATTTCAAATCTAATTCTAGGTTGATCAACTCTTCCTTGAATTTCCTAAAGGCCAAAAACCTTTAAGCAATATTTTCATCGATTTAAAAATCAAATTTAGCCAATGTCTAAAATGACTTTCAAAAGAAAAGAAAGAAAACCACTAATTTAATCAAAAGTCTTCTCAAGCCAAAACTTGAGTTATAATTAACATTAGGGACTTGCCATTATGGGACTTCTGTACCCCAAAAATAAATAAACCCCACGCGACCAAACATCGAGTGGGGGAATTTCTTTTAAAATTGTAAATTTTATCATTGAGTTCATAAGGAAATGATATTTTTATCATTTGGGGTAATATAACATCATTCTTATGCCGTGCTCAATCAAAAAGTATGCAATCCGTTCGAGGTTATAAAAATTCTCTAACAACAATTACTTTGAACAATAGACCCTAGATATCTAAAACGTATACTCTAATTAATGACTTGATCGCCCAAAGTTATAATGCCCCCGCTAGATCTATTACTATTAATAGTACACTTCATGTTTTCGATTTTAGATCTACTCAAACGAAAACCTTTAGCCTGTAAGGTTGACCTCCATAATTCAAGTTTACCTTCAACTCCTCGTCTTATCAACAAGAAGAATGTCATTAACAAAAAGCATACAGTAGGGTACAACATCTTGTAAATGTCTAGTGAGAACATCCATGACTAAAGAAAAAAGATATGGCTTAAGGTTGATTTTTGATGTAATCCAACCAAAATAAGAAAATACTTAGTCAAGTCACGTTGTGATTGAACACAAGTAAAAGCTTTTGCATACATATCCTTAATGACTTGAATATAAGCTTTATTAACCCCTTTCTTATGTAGAACTCTCCATGTCACTTCTCTTAGAACTTTATCATATGCTTTCTCTAAATCAAAAAATATCATATGTTGATCCTCCTTATTATATCTATCCTTCTCCATCAAGCTTCTCATTAAATGTATAGCTTCCATAATAGACATGCCCTCATGAATCCAAATTGAATTTGAGAAACATTAGTATCACATCATGACTTATGCTCTATAACTCTCTCTGCATAGTTTTAAAGTATGATGTTGACCTCTACTATGCAACCAAAGGAAACAGAAAAAAAGAATTATATCACTACCTTCCTCAAATCTCTGTATCCGTCCATACCAAAATCACGATCAAATCGCATCGGTCACAGCTACGGTAATCATGCCCCTATAGCGATGATGAAACGTCTTATATTCGACGTGGACTCCTCTTGTTCGCTTCGCTAAAATGAGACAGAAGCGGAGCCTCAAGCCTCTCTTCGCTCATTCCCACACATGTGAATCCTTCCAGTCCCAGACCTCTGAATACCTTCTACTTTCATGTCCCTTCGCCTCTCTCGTCGCTGTGTCCGACTCCACGAGCAGCCCCAAACTCTTCCCCATCCCGAAGTCCAAGCTTTCGTCGCCACTTCCTTCCCTCTTGCAAGCAGCTTCCATGGCCTCACCTGTTACCTGCGACGGAACCCAACCGAACTCGCGTCAATGCTTTC